GATACCAGGGCATAAAGGTTCAACCCTCAATGACTATGCAGATGCAATTGCAGTGGCCTCACCTAATTGTCCCATAATTTCTATATTGCCTACGCTAGCATTTATCGCCGTGGCATGCTTTGAAAAATTGTTATATTAGATCAGTTTAAAAAATCTCGCTTGGCAACATGTGATTTTTCTCATCTTAAGCACCCCTGGAAAAATCTCTCCATAGATTGGCTTTAAGTTTATCCCTTCCAGTGATCCTTTCCTCTGGAGCAATTGAAAAGGATTTAGCAACAGGAACGTTTGCGAGGCCGTATGCGATTTTCTTTAGGCAACGAAACGAAGTAGAATGTTAAGCTGGGGCATAAAATTCACTTCATTTCAAACCATATTAGCTTGTTGGGTTAAATTCTTTTTATTACCTCTATTCATTCTATTTCTAATCCATCGTTTACCAATCTGTTCATTCTTTAGACATCCCTATCTAAATATCCCTGCTAGTAAAACAATTCGAGCTCAAAATTAGGTACCGTCCGTTTCATGGCCGATCCCCCGTGGTGGGTTGCGCCAGGACTTTGAGGAACAACCAACCAACACAGCTTGTTTCCAGTAGCTCGAGCCTCAAGGTGACTGACACTCTCATTTCCCACAGGAGGAAAGGACAATAGAAAACGAGAAGGCCTGTCCTTCATAAGTACTCAAACACACACTCTAAACCTCAAGGCGTGTCAAGAGTATTGCATGGCAAACATGCGTCACAAAGAGTCACAATAGTTGACATTACTATGTGACAAGCAACAACCGGTTCCTCAGTTGGAGCAGGAGCCCTATGCACTAGCCCCTTTGTGCATGCAGCGAAGTTGAACCGTGCTGCGACTACCAAACACCGCCGGACTTTCTTTAATAGCAGCAGTTGTGAGTGAGTGAAACAACTTTATTGACGATCCGGCATAAAGGGGGAAGGGGTAGGGGATTAAAGCGAGACACTAGCGTGCTCGGACGTCCCGGAGCAGCAACCTACTCGCGTCAAACCCGTGGGGGCGCCGCTTTCGGCCGCTGGCGTTCCAGGATGCTAAGCACGTGCTGGACCACGTCTCTTTGATTGCCTGGCTCTCGGCTGATAATTTTGCTGCTTATGACAGTTGGCATTACTTCTTGGTTACCCGGCGGTGGTGCACAGTCCCAAAGGAGGTGTCTCTGGGTGCAGCAGTTGTGAAACTCTCCATAGTCTCTATATATAAAAATTCAGACAAACAACTGGCCAAAATTGGGGAAAGCTGCCGATTTTGACGCCGCCTGCAGGCGGACAAACAAGCTAATAAATGGCAGGTATTTTTGTATGTCATGACGCCCAAGGCTGCAATTGATGCTACATTGAAAGAGAGAACAGTGTGACTGTGCCTTCCGCTTAGATTTTGCAGATTATCACACAACAGGAAAATATCCTACTGTGCAATTCTAGCAGTGTGTGCCATCATTTGTATAAAACCCATTCATTGAAATGGGACAATTTAGGACTAAGTAATGGATCTACTTTCGTTACCACCATCTTCAGTTTGGTTCATATCTGCTTAACTTCAACTTGAAGATGTGGATCATAGACAACATTATATCTATAGACTAGATTTGCCACAACATGGCATGGTTATCTTGAGCAATCGCGCATACCAGTCGTTACACTAAAAAAATGCGATGTTGCATGTGAATCCGTGAGTACTGCACATATAAATGCACGCATATGTATGTTGTTTACTTTCATGGACTTTGATGCATTCGATCTGTTCATTTTTTTCCCTCTTTTCTATTTTTACATTGTGATTTTCATTGTCAGAGTTAATTTCTGAAATTATTTTGCCTCTATCTGTTTGTAAGCATTGCAGTTATTTGTATTACACTACAAATAAAGAAGGCAAAGAAAGAAAAAGAAACTGACTTTATTACATGTACATCTACGTTACTGTATTATGCATTTTCTTTCATTTTTATATGTTTGCGAAGCGTCTAAAGTTACATTAAGCTTTCGTGTGCCTATGCCAATAACACGGGGACCAGGCTTAGTCAAGCTACAGCTAATGCGGCTTTTTCCCACCACTCTGTTTCTCTCAGCAGAGTTGAAACAGTTTGATTTGGTACTGGTGCCACAGAATTTTTCAACCTTCCTTGAAAGCACTTTTCCTGGCAACTCGTGCAATGACACCAAAGACAGCAGTGACCATGGCTATGCAGTGTGTTTTCCGTTGTTGCTGCAAGTGCACACAGTTCTGCATTAACTCAGCGAATTCACTCATCACACAAGTGTTATGGCTGGAAACAACTCTGAACACCCCTCAAACAAGTGAAAGTTTGCATCAGGCAGAATTACGAGCTACCAAGCTAGAACAACCAATAAATAAACAAGCACACAATGCTATCCACAGCATACTTGCTCACAGAGCATAGTGTTGACGAGACAGTGTTCATGAAATTGGGATGAGAATGCTATGTTTGAAATAGATACAGTGAATTGCATGACATTAAGCTAATTAAAGGGGCCCTGAAACACTTTTTCGAGTAACCATGGAATTAATTCACTGGAAGAGCATTTGCCTCACAAACTCAATGCCGCAAAAATTTTAAGAATCAGTCCAGAATGAGGGGAGTTACCAAGATTAGTCACACGCTGCAATCGCATTCTTCTCTCGTCCCGACAAAAGCGCTGGAAGCTAAGCAGGAAACGATGGGAGGGGCAACAAAAAACGTCCCTTGTGCCTCTTGACCTTGAACACTTCCTTTTTTTTATTCGAATGTGCGACTTTTTCAGTGCGATCGCCGCACACGCATGGACAAGTGGAGGCCTTCTGTGGCGATCTCTGTAACAACTGAGCATGCTATGTTCAAATCAGCCAATGGCTGATAGATGGGTATTTACGAGTGATTTTTGACTGTCTTCTATCAGTTTTTGAGGGAAGAGAAAGCAATTTTCCGCTGACTTTAATAATTTATTGTGAATTCCAGGCTGGGTGCTGCGCTATAACAATTGGTTCGCGTGTTCTCGGGAGCTTCTACTACCGATCGGCAGCATTTTCTGACCATGCTCGAAAATTGTTGCGGGACCCCTTTAAGAATGCAACTCTTTGTCACTGATAAGACAGCGTGATTGGAGCTAACAGTGCCATTTTCGTAGTCAATAAGAAAAAGGTTTGACGATGCACTAATTAAAACTGCTGTTGTTCACCACTGAGAAGGCAACGTGCTTACAACTGGGTTTAAAATTTCATTGTAGTCAGTGACGCAAACTGCTTAGCCCTGTGCCAACGAAAAATGCCTTTGTTCGTCGCTGATATGAGAAGGTTCGTGGAATTGTGGCAAGAATGCCACCATTTCTAGTCAGCAAGATAGCCTGCTTGACAATGTGCAAATTATGCTGTTGTTCGCAGTTTAAGATATAGTGTGTTTTAAACAGTGTTAGGAATACAATTTTTTGTATTTAATAAAGACTGCTCGACACAGGGCCAATAAAGAATGCAATTTTTGTCATTGACAATGTAGTGCGCTTGAAACTGGGATAAGAGAGCCATTCTAGTACTCGATAAGACAAGTTGCAGGGCACTGTGCTAATTAAGAGTGATTTATAACTAATTTTTCTCATTAATGTATTTACAAGACAGACATACTAAGCTCAAACCTTTAATGTCACAAGCATGTTTCTCTTTATTTTTACAACTCTGCATTAGATTTGGACATTCCTTAAAGGGGCCCTGCCACACTTTTTCAAAGAACCATGGAATAGATTCAATAAAAAAAACTTATGGCCTCACGAATTTACCACTGCAAGAATTTTCAGAGTCTGTCTAGTACAAGCAGAGTTACAAAAGATTTGCCACATTCTGCAATGGCATTCTTTTCTCTCGTCCCAACAAAAGTGCTGGAAGCTAAGCAGGGAGGAAAGTCACATGGGAAAAAAAATGTCACGCACGACTTGTGACCTTGAACACTTTTTTTTTTCTTCGAATAAGTGGATTTTCAGTGCGATCGCACGTGCATACGTGGACAAGTCTCAGCCTCTTGCGGAAGCCCTAGTAACGATCAAGCACTGCTCAAATCAGCCAATGGCTGATGCATTGGCTGTGACAAGTGATTTGTGAGCTTGTAGCAGCATTTGCGAGAGAAGAGAAAGCAATCTTTAGCCTGACTTTGAAAATTTATCGCGAATTCCAGGGCGCGTGCTGCAGTACAATATTTGGCTCGCATGTACTCGAGAGCCTCGACTACCAATCAGCAGCGTTTTCTGACCATGCTCAAAATGTGTCCTAGGGCTCCTTTAAGAGACGTGACCAGCATTAGCACTGCCACCCACTTAACACAGATAAGTTGTGGCTTAGCTTGCGCACTTCTCATAAACAGAATGTCACTATGGTGTGTTGATGTACCTTACTGATGTTTGCTGCAAATGTGCGTCGTTCTTTGTTTGCCCTTAAACATCAAAAGTCCACAAACAACAATATTGAGAATTCAAGAGTTTTGTATCTTCAAGCCTAACCGATTTAGTAGAAGGGTACTTCAGAGCAGACGCCACCGTTAATATGAACACGGTTCAAAATGTATGCCCCATTTCCACCGGAAATGGTGGCCAGAGTCCTGAGTGAAAAATATACACTCAAACCTCAATGAAACAATGCTGAATATAACGAATTATCAGTTATAATGAAGTGAGTGACCAATGGCTGTCATGGGTACACTGCTACAAATATGTGTTTATAACAAATTCTCGGTTATAACGAAGTATTTTCGTGGCAGGTGTGAATTTGTTATAATTAGATTTGCGTGTATAGACTCCACATGATGTAGACAATAATGCACTTCAGTATGAGGTTAATAACAATGACATATCATGACACCAGAAATGGCGACTAACTACCAAAAAAGTAGCGCCCTCTGAGCAACCTAAGATTTCAGTGACACCAGATAGTGTTGAAAAAATTGCAGTAGAAAGCTGCATGCTCTCAACAAGCTGAAGAAAAAAGCAACACACGTACCTGCCTGGCAACGCCAACAGAACGAGGAGAAGCATAATCTGTAGGAGGGTGACGTGCCACCCCAGGGACTTCCATACTGGCGCCGCCGTTGCCACTGTTGTTGGGCCGGCCTACACATTGTGGAAGGCACCGATATAAAATGTGTGTTTACAACACCGAAGGCTGTAACGCAGCAAATATTCATCAACACATTCAATGCTCAACAAAGAGAACAGCAGCCATGCAGAGTAGACTTCAGAGCAGCACTTACACAGTACATTAAATGCAGAAACTGTAGCCAGGGTGTCTACCAATTCGATTTTTTCGAATTCCCTGACTTTTTCACGTGTTCCATGATGATTGGAAGCAAATTAGAAACATTACACAAATACCTCTGTCCAATTTACGGTGTACCTGACACCCTTTGCTCACATGATCCTTGCGTGCCCGTCCAATATACAGACTGACACCAATACCTTCACATAATGCTTGGAACACTAGTCAAGAAACCGAAGAGTTTCTCAAACAATAAAGGCCAAGTTCGCCTCGGAGGACCTCAACCAAAATAGACCAAAAATGGCATTTCGTCTCGTCTCTTCTTGTTGCCAGGGCCAAAGAGGCAGAGAAGGCCAGAGGGCTTTCAGAATGAGGAGACCTCCGACTTAGGGTAGCAGCAGGACTAGAAGCGTGATACTGTTTCCTGAAATTTTTATTCTCCCTCAGCCTTTGGATTGTCCCCCATGAGAAACGACAAATACAAGTTCAGCCTAAAGGAATTTGCAGCTGCAGTGTGATATTGTGAAAAAACCTTATAAAGAACTCAGAAGCCATGTTTTTGTAAATTGTTTGGCCAATAACTAGCACACGTAACAAGATCCTGTACAAAAGGTTGGGGCCAGAGACCACATTGTTTAGAAATTTTGATTAGATGCTCAAATGTTCTCATTTTGTTCACGCAATGATGGCCAGAGAATTTTGTCTGAGTGGTGAACGGTCTTGTTTAGAGTGCTTGAACAACAACGCGCGATTGTGACTCAAGGTAACTTTAAGGTGGCCACAAGAGAAGCAAGAACATTTCATACTCTAAAAAAAATCTTTATAAAGGATATGGGCTGCAGAATAGGTAAGATAGCATAAATTTTAGGCCATAGATGTGTCAAGCCATCGTTTAACACTTTTTGGTACGGGGACCACCTTAGGCAACCAACCTTTCTTTTTCTCTCGCTTGAAGCACATGATCCCCATGTGTTGAATTTCAAATGGTGCATTTTTTAGAGCATTTGCCATTCTCACACAGACGACACTACTTTTGTCAAGTTAATATAAAATAATATTAATTGTACTGAGTCCAAAACCACCATATGATCATGAGAGACGCCGTAGTGGAGGGCTCCAAAAATTTCGACTATGAGCGGATTCTGTAACGTGCACCTGAATCTAAGCACACGGGCGGGGCCTCAAGTATTTTCGCCTCCATCAGCAAATGCAACGACCACGGCCGGGATTCAACCCCATGACCTGCGGGTCAGCAGACGAGTGTCTTAGCCGTCAGACCACCGTGGTGGGTCACTTTGCTCGAATTACAGGTTGCATGTTGCGTTCATTTTCTTCTCGTTGTGGATCATTACAAAGGTGCGTAACACAATGGACCCGAGAGATTTTTGTACTAATCACAGGGACTTTTAAGTTTAGATATTATATTGAATCGATAATGTGGAATATCGTAATGTATAAGTAGTTACACTTAAGAAAGCTAGAAATGTGGTGTTGTGCTCTTTAGTGCAAAGTGCTGAAGTTGGCCGTTATCTATGGGTGACCACTGCACATGAGGGGTCTTAGATGGCTGCTAATGCATAATTTGTTATTGGTGCTTCAATAGAAAAGTTTCCTTAATTACTTGCCAGAACCTTCAACAATGAGATGGATATGTCCTACATGCCACACCCCTTGCTACTGTACAAAAACAAAGACCGCTTTGCGGCCTTCCATCAAAACTAACCATAGACTGTCGCTGCATGATCCTCATTTTTTTAGCAAAGACGGTCTTTTATTTTTGTGAGTTAAGCATTTTCTCAAAAAGAGTAGAGCAGTTTTGTTATATATATATATAAAACTCTGTTCTGCATGGAGTTCCGTGCGAGACAGCGTGAAGTGACACCAAGATAATTAGCCTCCCAGAATTATACCGCTACCGAGCAGCAGCTGATGCGCGATTCACCTGCTTTTGCAATACAAGCAGCCTCGATTATCTGTCGTGTCTTCTAACCTTTGATTGAAAAACAAACCACACAAGTTTTAAACAAAGGCTAGCCCCACCCGAGCCCAACAATGAGCAGATAAATGCAAAACATTTTCAGTAATCAACGCCCTCTCACAGGTGCAGAGGCTTATATTTGCACTTCTCAGTTTGACTGACATGCACACATCTACACAAATCCCCGGCAACTTACAAAGGACTGAACATTGAACAAACATGGCGATGTGTCAATATATACCTGTACAACCACAAAAGGGCATTGAGTATTAACAAGCTGTCGCACCTATCTGCCCAATGTAGGGCTTGTAAGGGCTAGCCTTTAGTTAACGTAACTTGTAGTTTGATTTCACACAGAAATCAGAAGACCGAGAGTGACTTTTGAGGCTGCCGATACTACAAAAGCAGATGAACCAGGCGTCAATAGCAGTAGCAACAAGATAGATATATGAAACTTCCTGTTACTTAGAAGGGTCCTGAACCACTTTTGAAAACAATCATCGAATCACCTCAATGTTGGAGTTCATTGTGCCTCACAAATTGATTGCGATGCAATTTACTCAAAAGTGTCAAGAATGAGTCTGTAGCGAGGCAATGAACAGGGATTTGTCGCTCGCTTGAAGTGCTTTCCCTCCTTTCATCCTAACCAGCATGCTGAACGCTACCCAGAGAGGAATGGTGCAGGGAAAAGACGTCAGCGCGCGTCGTGACCTCGAGTGTGCATGATTCGACACAATCACCATCCCATGTTACGATCTCGGTGAGTGCAAGTGTGGCTACTATGTAATGTTGGCAGATTGCTGAAGCACGATGCCCACACATGGTGGCACATCGTGGCAAGTAAGGCGTATGATTCAAATGCCTGATTGATACATTTTTACTTCCCAAAACCACCATACTGATTATGAGAGACGCCATAGCGGAGGGCTCTGGAAATTTCGACCACCTGGGGTTCTTTACAGGCACCCAAATCTGAGAACACAGGCCTACAGCATTTTCGCCTCCATTTAAAATGCAGCCGCCGCAGCCAGGATTTGATATCCCGCGACCTGCGGGTCAGCAGACGAGTAATTTACCACTAGACCACTGCGGCGGCACATCTGATCCAAATGCCACTCTTGATTTATGTTGGCTATTGGCGAACAGCGTGCCACCTGTTGTGTGATGCCAAATAGCAGGCACCAGAGAGAATGATCCCAGGTCTTTGTATAAGACGCGAGTGAGAAAATAGCAACCTTGCACCCCATTTCTAAACTCTCCTTGCCACACACAATAACAAAATTTGGCTGAGATGCTCATAGTGTTTGCTTTCTGCAAGGTCTGGGTTTTCATTAAGCATAAGGAGCGCATCCTCACTTTTTTAAACAATGGCTTGACACATTTATGGCCAGCTAGTTATGCTACTTCACTACTTACTGCACCTGTGCGCCTCCTCTTTTTGAATTTTTTCTTAATCGAATGTATAAATATTTCTGGATTTCGCTGCTTAAAACTTCAGTTGCTAGTAGTGTGTTGTCTAATTTGCTTCTTCCTGGCATCATTTTCCGTGTGCTCTACTTCACAGTGAAACAAACAAATGACAATACCAGGATATCACCAAACTGCACTACAAATGGGCGAAATAGACCAGTATCGTTGCCATAGTTTTTCAGCATGTTAGCTGAGTAGTCTACATACAGAGGCAACTTTGGCATTGTATACTACAATGAGTGTTCACTACTAAGGCACTGAAACGAGTTGTCTGTGTGTGCACAGTAGAACAAGTATCCACTCCATTTCCCCCCGAGATGCAGAAATCTATGCAACAGGCAGTATCAGCGAGATCACTTAGTACATAGTCAGCCACGCGGAGAACCTCACTATCTACAAAAATCTTGATTTGCTTTATTAGGCAAAGGAAATTATGCTGTAAAATGATGCTTAAACTTTGCTGACAAACCTACAACCAAGATAGTGGCAAAGGCTTTCAAGGTTAGATGCTGAAAGGGTAACTGCAGCAATTTCCTTCTGAAATAAGTTAAATAGCAACTTATTTCCTTCAGTGTCGTGTTTGTCAAATGAATGCATGGTGAAAATGTGTCATGAAGTCCTCTTTTTTTTCTTTGCCTGTTTTTTTGTTTAGTCATTCAGCATCGCTATTATTTTCTCTCTGTATTTTTATTTATTTAGTATACCCTCAAGGCCACAGGGCAGTAATAAAATGTGCACAAGAATTAACAAAAGGTAACAAAAAGACTGGTAATAACAAACATTCAATTAATTGCAGCTCAGTATACGTTAGCAAAAAAATTAAGGTAGGTGAACACACAAAAGGTGGCAACAATGAAAACATTTCATTTCACTTTATTTTCAATTCCAACATGATAGATAAAAAAAACTGTTTGGACCCACAGCCAAAGGCTAGAATAGGGTCCAATGATGCAATACAAAATGGATATGTAATGAAAAATAAAACAAGTTAACCACAAAATGAAAGGACGGTAAAATTTACAACGAAAAAAATGGCCCATTAGAGATCTTATGGCACATATATTAACGGTCAGACCATTTCTCGAGCTACCCATACTGGCTGTTTGTTCTGGCTGGCTGTACAACCTCTAACAAACCATTTTTCCAATCTTTGTAAAAAAACTTTGAATTTTTTCTCCACGAGGAATCAACAGTTTGTATGAGGCCAGATAGCTAGCCCAAGCCAAAGCGGGTACAGATAGCCCCCCTCCCACAAAATGTAATGCAGCCGATGAAATGCTCTCACATTCAACAAGGTGACCTATGTTACAAAATTATAAATTAATGTACAGTGCACATGGATCAAAGAGAGATAACTGTGCACATGGATCAAAAAGAGACAATTCATGGCTAAGTAAAGCGCTTATTTTCCTTCCCACTCTTCAGTTTTTGTCGAAGCAGCGTAACTTAAACTCGGAACACACATCCAAGCCCTTACCTTTACAGGCCGGGTTCAAAGCTACTATGTGATGCAGTTATTTCACGAATACCAGTTGGTTTACTAAATGTTTTATGTTGCATTTCAAACAATGGGCAGTGTACTGTTTCCAAATTACCTGCAGCTAAAAGTATGGCAGAATTTTCTTTGGGGATGAAACCTGCTACAGGGTTCATCAATTTGTAAAATCAGCCAAAGTTGGAAAACCTTGTGAGACATTCTTGAGATGACATGTAAAGGTAAAGACATGAACGGAAGAAGCGTTCTTATCCACATATGTATTTTTTGACGATTTCGCTAGACTAATGCATTCTCTTAGTATGAACCAAATATCTCTGCTAGTCATGCTTATTAGATTAAATGACGAGAGTTCCTTGATAACTTTACCATCACTTAAAGAGAAAAAAGAAACAACACACACCACGACTGCTAGAGAGAAACAGAATTTTACTAGGAACATTTGCAGAAAATGTTAGTGTTGTGTCTTCATCTGCATATTGTTCATAAGGTGCTGACAAGAATGAATCGAATATCGAAACAAACTAGCCTGCGCAACAATGCTATTTGAAGAACAAGTATTTGTAAGAAACAGAAGGAAACTGGAGAAATGTAATTCCGCCACAACAATGTACAATTAACAATTAAAAATTTTAACTTGGGTAATGAATAATGGCTTCGCACTAGAAATCCCATCAGGGGGGTGTGGCAATCGCAGAACTTTTTTCGAGTATTTTCGTTTCTTAGAGATGGGCAGAAACGACGCGTTTTCATCTCTAAGCACTCAAGATATTACAGAAAGCCAACGAACCCACATGACGCACCTATCTTGAAGGCCACGAGGTGGCTTGTGTCAGCGCTGTTCTCGTTTTCTCCACAAAACTCCACGTTAAAGAATCTAGGGATGCGCCCGACTTTTCACAGCGACCCGGCCCCTGACTAGCAACGGGACCTAACATGTTTCGAACACGGTGTAACACTCAGCGGTGAGAGGATATATGTAACGGAAATGCGCTGGTGACGCACGCTAACTTTACTTACCCTTGCGATATCGGAGTGTTGCACCGAAACGAGTCGTCTGTGTGTACACTGCGAAACCGCGCAGCCTGGGTCAGTTTTGACGCAGGAACCAGATGTTCAAAAGCGCTAATCCCGCATTTTTCGCTTCAACAGCGACGCGGTCACAGCGAGCTAATAGTAAAGGAAACCAGCTGGTCTGGTACGACACCGTTTGTGTTCTTGTTGACTTTGCACGAGGCACAGACGCCCACACAAACTGGATCACAAGAAGCCCGTGATCGACGGTCGCCGCATTTCTCTTTTCGCCACTGCACCAGCGCAAGGGCGTGGCGAAACGCTTTCTATCTTGAGTTAAAGGCGAGAGCCGTGCCGTCAAGGCGCGATAAAAGCGCCCCGAAAGGACGAGGCAAAGAGAAGGCGCCTATCGCGCGTAGGATGTGTCACCAGAGACGGAACTCATCCGAGGACGCCTTCCGCGCAAAGCTATAGCTCGGTTTCGTAAGTTCCTAAACTAGAAAGCCGACATCGACCGGGGCAAAAGTTTCACGACTTACTCGAGGCTTGTCACGCTACCGGCAATCCATCGTCACGGCACGAAGGGTGTCCTCGCATCGTCGCCTCTTGGGAGGCGAGACTTAAGTGGCGTCGTTACGTTGTTCGCGTAGTGTTCCTTCCTTTCCGAAGAGTTCGGTCACGGCAGCGTCAGTTGTTCCCCCCTCGAGGAGTCACGCGCGAGCAGGGTTTCGTTCACGGACGGCACGACACATTTGTCTAGTCCGACACGGATGCATGAGGATCAGTTTTGTAGAGGTGTGCGTTGGAGAGCGGTTACAAGCCGCCGACTACACATGACGCGCTGACCGTGGGCCACAAGCACCTCCCGTCCACACACAACACAAACTACACAACGCACAAGGGGGCTGTCGATTCGGCCCCTTATCGCCGTTGTTTCCACGGTTGTTTCGTAGCTGTGTAGAGAAATAGTTGACCCTCTTAGTGGCGCTGCTGTCGCAGCGTTGTCCTTCTCATAGAGGAATCGTCGCTGTATCAGATAATGTAGATTCAACCAATGTCTCAGGCTGTAGGCACTTTGCTTCTTCAGACACACTCGCACAATTTAATAATAATAATAATAATAATAATAATAATAATAATAATAATAATAATAATAATAATAATAATAATAATAATAATAATAATAATAATAATAATAATAATAATAGTCGTACCCAAAGCCACTTCTCAGAAATAACCATCCCAAGTTTGACAATGGAAGGTTTCAAAGCATACAAGTTTGATTTTTCAATTAAAAAATACGGTTTGTTGCATTTACTGTGCCTTCATTGCAGTGGCATCTCGAGGCATCTCCAGCTGAAAGCGGGCCAGCAATTTATGACAATGGGGCACATCTCAACCCAATTTTTTAGTCATATCTCAGTATAAGCATGCCAATGTGTATGTAGTACACATAAGATGTGGCAGTTCTGGTTAGTGCCCCTTTAATGACAAGAGGGGAGAAAAGTGGCAATGGTAATTGCACAAAAACAATCACAATACTGGTAAACTGTCGACTGTGTAAGATCATTGGCAGAGTTTTCTATGGGTGATAGCAGTGCCATAATGTACAGCCTTGCGTGTGAAAGAAGGCAAATTGGGCCATGACGGAACTAGGCAAATGTATGCAGCTCATCTTCCCCGACCAGGGCAGTTGGAGCCGTGACCAAACTAGAGGCAAGAACACACACAAATCTCAATTTCTGCATACTCCATTTGACTAGTAGTAAACAACTTCATTAAGGCAGCTGGCGGTTTCCCAAGTGGCGAGGGCTGTCAGGCCATGCCTGGTCGCCACATCATGGCGCGTTTGATGGCCCAGAGCTGGGTGTCCATGCAGCCTTGGCAATAAAACACTATCACCCGCCCATCCCCTTATCACTAGTTAGCAAGCCAGCCCCGATGTACTCGACTGTCACTCGTGTCTCACGTGGTTTCAGACTATAAAAAGACCATGTATAGAGGAATAAACAGTTGAGTTCGTGTTGCCACTACGTTGAGTCACTTCAGTCCAGGCTTGTAGTCGTGAGGATTCTCTCCCAGGCCTCACGAAGGTGACTGTCCTAGGAGGTTTGGTTAGTGATGGCTTCACCCGGTTGTAAACTAAGAGTGTGCAGTGCCCTCCTGTAAGAGCATAGTGCCTATTAGCCCCACTAATGTGAAATCGACAACACTTCCCTAAAAAGCATAGAGTCAAAAGTGCATTTGGTGATGTTGATCAAAGCCCCTGCACATCACTGAGACAAGAACACATACTGCAAGCGTGTGACATAGTTCACTCACTAGGAAGAATAGCAAGGCACAACTGGCCAATATTGTAAAACCACAGTTAACATTGGCCTAAATTGTCATAATATTTGACAGTAGTGTCGATATAGGTCTGTAGTCTTTCTTATTCAACTCATTGCTTGATGAAATCACCCGCAATGCAAGAAGAAAATATTCCCCTCGCAAATCCTCCAGTGTTATCCATTTCATTTGTGTAGCGCAGGTTAACAAGGGAATGTCAGATGAATGTAGTCTGTGATGACCATTTAACATATCTATTGAAAAAGCAGCAAAGATTTCTAAAGCAAGGCTATTTGAAGAAAGTACAGAATAGCACTGAGACAAAGCAGGTCACCAAAGCGAGAACACCTTTAGTGAGGGCCGAGGACAACTTTATTAATGGTGAAACACCAAACGCTACTATACAAGAGCTGGCAAGAGAAATGCGCAGTTGTAGGACCTAGTACCGGATGCGGTACATGTTGCTCCTCAGTTGGTTGTAGTCGGTCAGCGCCTCGACGGGTCCTGCAAGAACAAAATGCCGGCCATTGATCACTGCAGGCACCACCACAGGCTATAACTCGGTTGTCATTCCGATGCTGTTTGTCAATGATAAAACAGCGGGCTTGGAACTGTCAAAACAATGGCATTGTGCACAGTTGATAAAACAGTTTACTTTGCACTGTGACAATTAATAATGCTGTTGTTCACAGCTGATAAGGCAGGGCCCTAGAACTTAGATAAAAACCTTGTCATTTCTAATTGATAAAACCAAATCCTTGACAATGTGCCAATATACTGCAGTTCGCCGTTGATAATACAGTGGGCTTGGAAACGTGAAAACAATGGCATTGTTCATAGTTGATAAGACTTTTCTGGCACTGTGCCAATAAGGAATATTGTAGTTAATGGTTGATAAGGCTGTGTACTTGGAACTGCGATAAGAACGCTGTTGTTTGTAATTGATGAAACTAATACCTCGACACTAAGCCAATATGCTGTTGTTTGGGGTTGATAAGACTATGCGTTTGGAACTGAGTAAAAATTCCATTGTTAGTGGTTGATAAGACAGCTTGCCTCCACACAGTGCTAATTAAAAATGTGGTTGTTTGATAAGAGTGCTGCTGTTTGCAGTTGATGAGACAGATTGCTTCTAACTGTGCAAATTACGGACGCTGTTGTTTGTGGTTGTTGAGAGAGAGTGCTACAAAATGTGTTGACAATGCCATTGCTTACTGCTGGTAAGACAGATTGCTTAATACAGTGCAAACCACATATGCTATTCGTTGCTGTAGATATGGGAGCGTGCTTCAAGCTGTGTTAACAATGCTACTGTTTGCTGTTGGTAAGGCAGTCTGCTTCTCAGTGTGCCAATCTCAAGTGCAGTTGTTTGTGCAAGGTTGATAAGATGGCTTGTTAGGAACTGTGTTAAGAATGCCATTGTTTGTAATAGATAAGACAAACTGCTTCAAGCTTCACAAATTAAGGGAGTATGAAGGGATCATTAAAAATTATTTGTTTCTGGGCTTAGAGTGCTGAAATTCAACTCACACACTCAACAAAGAAAATTTTTAAATTTTATTAAGCTGTCTGAACTAGCTTTTGTTTTACAAGAATCTGTAAAAATTTACCAGTTCTTTTTTCGCAGAAAGCCTGGCACAATCATGAAACACGCTAGGGAGCTGAAACTACATTGTATATTTGCTCACACAATTTTTTTGTACATCACAAGGTTCATACAGGTTTCCGAGACGAAAATTCAGGGATATTCAAAGACTTTCCAGGACCTTCACAAGTTTTTCAATAACTCAAAGTGGCATGCAAAGTTGCAATTCTCTCCTTTAAAATTATCGAAAATGACTCATCTTATTGCACTTACAATCTATAAATGAATATCACAATTATAACAAACACATCTAGTGTTAATATCTTTTCAAGATCACAACACTTGTTGGAGCTCTCAGAAGCAGTTGAGATTATTTCAGCAAACGCTTGAAGTTACCCAAGTACATTCAATATGTCCTGTGTAGCATTATTTCACTTATACCAAGATAAATACATGTACCGTATTTGCTCGATTCTACCGCGCCCTCGATTGTAACGCACACCCGATTTTCACCGCAAAAAAAAAAAAAAAAAAAAAAAGACATCGATTGCAACGCGCACCCATTTTTCTCGCTGGCCCGCACGATCACACCACTCGAAAAAACGACTCCTTTCGGGAGCGTCTTTTATTTAAATATGAGGTACGGGCGAAGCTTGTGCCCATCTGACGTGTAACAGAGCATTGCCGTCACTGTAGTTTTACCGTGGACCCCGATGTCAGGACGCGAACTTGCTTCGCCCCCTTCTTCTCGACGGTTGTGGTGCCAGGCATGTCGAAGTAAAGAGGCGTCTGATCGGCATTCCCGATTTGCCCAAGCAGGTAGCCGTTGTTGCGCCTCAAGTTTAGGACGAACCTCTGAAAACTGTGAAGCTTTTCATCGTACTCCTCCGCAAAACTTTTCGCATATGCATGTTCCCCTTCGAAGGGAAAAGCCTTTTCTCTTCATAAAGTTAGTTATCCAGCACCTGCTCGCTTTAAACTGGCTCCGCATTAGACCTTTTTCTAAGACTAATTGCATAGCCCGCACTTGGAGCAGTTCTGTCGTCACGGGTCGCTGTGCCCCTTGCTGCTCAAGCACATACTCGCCGAGAAGCTCTTCAATTTGCGGAAACCGACCCTGCTGTGGTCCACTGAAGCCTTTGCGTGAAGCTTTGCTGGCGACAAATTTCTGCTTTTGTTTCCGCCAGTCCCGCACGCACGTTTCGGGAACTCCGAACGACCGCGATGCGGCCCGATTTCCGTCTGTTTCTGCATACGCGATGACTTTTCTTTTAAAAGCGGCATCGTGGTGCACTCGAGTTTTTGGAGTCGGCCCTTCCACGCCGTCGATGCTAATGCACTACTAGATGACAAACTCCTCAGCACACGTACGAAGTGCTGCACATGGGAAACACATAGGCAGAAATGACCGACGCGCTATGCCGACGCACGTAGGGGGCGGCCATTTTGGATTTGCCGATGGCAATAGATTGACCGAAATTTTTTTGTTCGTACTCGATTCGAACGTACATGCGATTTATGAACTCGCTTAACCGGAAAAAAGGTGCGCGTTAGATTCGAGTAATTACGGTATATCCTAATAATATAACAATGAGTAGCCTGGATGACTTTGCAAGTCCTAAACAATGAAAAAAAGCTCGCG